TACACCCCTTTGTCTTTTCATTCTGGCCTTTATGTTCAGCCTGTACATTCTTAATCTCTTGGTAAAACTTGTTCTTTCTCATCTAGAATCTGTCAGACTCCCAGTAGTCATGCAGATGGAACCGACAATGAATGTGCCACACTGCTTTTACCAAGGTCCACTAGATTGTCCCTCTAAAGAGACAATAACTGCTGAGCTCCAACTCAACCTCTATCGAGGGCTCCTTAGATTAGTTCTCTGGAGAAAATCCCTGACTGTCATAGCCCCTGTACTTACAATTCTCAGCTTGAAGCAGCTACATTAGTCTTCCTCTTCTCCCTTAAGGGCAGTTAAGGATGCTTCTTCAGGTGGGAGAATGTAGTAGCCTAGTGTTATGGCTTATGTTTAGATATTCCCTCAAAGCCTCATGTGGTCACAGGTGGGGCTTTAACAAAGGTGGCTGGATCTACACTGTGTGAGGCTGAAATTGACTGATGGTGCAATGCTAGGCTCAGGGGCACTAGGATTGCAGGTATGAGTGCTACCCACCCTGAGTAGCCTGAATAAGGTAAAAGGGGCAGAAAGATGCACTTAAGGTCCCTCTTGATTGCTTTGCGACCTTCTGCCCACCATGAACTGTTTTTTCTCTATGATGCCACCTGCCTTGGACCCAGCTGACTATGGACTGGAAACCTCCACAAACTGTGAATCAAATAAACCTTTCCTCCCTTAACTTTGGGCCTCAGGTATTGTGTCTCAGCAAGGAGAAAAGTAACTAAGACACTTAGTCTAGTCATTATGAGTAGGTAATTAGAGAAGCCCAATAATAGAGTCAGATAAAAGAGCTAATTCAAGCAGCCATTTAACCAAGCAGGTAGGTAAGCAAGTAGCCAGTTAAGCTTAGAAATGAAATGAAAGGGATTGGGGATTTAGCTCAGCGGCAAAGCGCCTGCCTGGCATGCGCAAGGTCTTGAGTTCGGTTCCTGGTACCGGAGAAAAACCAAAAAAAAAAAAAGAAATGAAATGAAAACAGAAGAACAAAAGATAGAAGGTCGGGATGAGAATAGAGAGATAAGGACTTTTCCCTCAGGACAAAGACTCTTACCCAGGGGGTGCTTATTTAACAGGTTTAACATCTCCACCTGCCTCCATACCTCAGATTTCAACTAGACTTAGAGAAACAAATGCAAGATGACCAGTTTTCTTTTGAGCTTTTTAAAATCCATTTCTTTTTAAACAAGACCCTGTGCTCTGCCCAACACAAACAAAGCATGCTGGACTTCTTTTCCCTTGTAGAAACAGTCAGAACTCTTAGGTAGAGTTAGATTAAGGAATCACACGCCTTTAAGAAATAGAAAGGAAGTAGCCTCTGCATCACAGCAAGCAGCTGAGCTGACAGCCTGTGGTCTGACACCTTCTGTGTAGCTCACACTGACATACCTAAGCTCCCCTTCACGTAGGTTACTCCCCCCACCGAAATTCCCCTACTAGCCCACCAAACCTAACCCTCTAGCAACAAGTCCAACACCCAATCAAGTAGTGACCCTCAGAGAGGGTGGAAGTGGGGCTTCTACCCCATAAAACATGACCATACCCCCAAACTCAGTGGTGTTCCAGCTCTGCGCCACCCCCTCCCCAACTCCTCTGGAGTTGTTTTATACCACTTCCTCTTACAACACCTGTAATAAAGTTGCTTTACACTGGTCTTCTGTCTCTTCTTCTCCTATGTCAGGGAGAGAGAGACAGAAACCCAGCTAGGGTGAGTCAGGGGACCCTAGACCCCAGACCCACTGGATGCAACACCCTCTTAGTGGTATTCAAGAGGTTTTTCTTATTATTATTTCTAATAAACACTCTTCAACTCCTCCTCTTGTCCTCAAATTTATTCTCCAATTTTGAGAGACAAAGAACTCAGATATATACAAAGTTATGGTTACAGTAACATAAAGCTGATCAACACATCATCTTAGCTAAAAATCTCCCTGACACAAAGAAACAAATTAAAGATAGTACAATTAGATGGACAGGTCAGCCTCTCAACACTATTCAGGTTGCAATACACTTGGGGAAATTAAAATCAACTGTGTTTGTCTTGCAAATTTAATCATTGCAAAAATAGAAGTATGTGTGCCTCTAACAACTATTTAAAGCATACTTTTTTTTTTTTTTTTGTCTTTTTAAGACAGGGTCTCACTATGCAGTTCAGGCTGGCCTTGAACTCACTTTGTAGCCCAGGCTGGTCTCAAACTTACAACGATCCTCCTACCTCCACTTCCAGATTGCTGGGATTCAGACATGTTCCACCATGCCTGGCTAAACATACTTTTTAAATCTCAGAATGTTTACCTCTATTGTACTATAAAAATCAGGACACGAAAAGTAAGACACACAACAAAAAGTACGTGCTCCAACTTGTCAGTGATGGTGAGCTTCAGGTGGGATGCTAATCTGTTACTAAGCTCCTCCAGTAGTCAGTTTCTCCGGAGTAGCAAGGTGTGGGTGTTGAGATAGGTAAGAAGAGCATCTTTATTTAACCTCCTGGGCAATTTATTCAGAGAATAAGCTCCTTTGGACTCTACTGATTAAGCCGTATGTTCAACGAGTACAGAACCATGTGGCTTAAGTCACAGCGTTGGTGAAACAATGGCACATGTGCAGCGGTGGGCTGTTTGTATCATTTAAAGTTCTAAAAGGTTCAAGCAAAGGATTTTCCTGCTTGAACAGATTGCAAATGTACAAATATCCTTGGTCAAGGCTGCTGTATATTTTCACAAACCACCACCAACAGCAGTGAAGCAAAACTTTCTTGGCCCTGGCTCACCAGTGAGGAGGTGTGCACCCCTTCATTCTACAAATGATCAAAGAGCACCATTTTCAGCAGACATCTTCTGAAAGTTGTTGCTAATCACCAACCTGGAAAGCCTTTATCTGGGATGAAGATTCTCGATGTTGGCTGTGATGGTGGATTGCTAACTGAAGATGACAGGTTTTTGTTGTTTTTTTAAATGCCTTTATCCTCTAGGGGCAGCTTGGGGCTTCAACTACTGAACTGATCTTGTGGATAAGAACATTCAACAGCTCAGTGGAATGAATCATTTGATCTATTCCTGGATAAGAGGAGTACAGGGTGTGTTGCCTGAGATTATGGACAAGATTGCAGGACAGTTGATAGCTTTGTAGCTTCTGAAGTTGCAGAACGTGTGGTTTATCCGGACACATTTCTACAGGATTGCTGTCCGGTGCTAAAAGTTGGTGGCTCCTAATTCCTTCCTACAATTAACAAAAACACATCTGTCCTGTGCCTTATTGTTCTTATCAGAGAAAATTGCACATATTGTACCAGAAGCTAATACATGGGAGAAATGTGTTCAACCTGAAAGCTACAGAGCATTCTGGAATCAAATCGTCTGTTTATTCAGAAGGTGGAAGGAGTGCTCTAGAGCCTCTTCTCGGTTACTGGGGTTGGGGTAAAAATGGCAGCCTTAACTGTGTAGCCACGCTGTGAGGTCTCTGGTGCAGGAACACCCAGGGCCTTCTGGGTTTGTTTTAAAGGAGGAAACAGAAGAGCTCCTAGCTAACACCTCTCCCGGGCCAGGTGTACATGAAGACCTGAAGAAACAAATGTATTCAGAGCACTGTAGTAAAATTGCATGAAAGTCTGATGTTTACAAATACAACAAGTATACAATTTATCTTTTGAGAGAAAAATCATGAAGAAAATAATATCAATAAAAGGGGTTAAATTCTCTGACAGAAGTTTTTATTTCATCTGATATCTACTTCCAAGGAATTATTCTATGGATTAAAAAGTTTAGTTGAGGTATTATGTGATCCAGGAGTTTAAGTTCCTCAAAGTTTGTTGTATCAGTAGCATGTGCATATTTCATATATGTTTACCTGCTTGTGTACATATATCTATGTAATTTGTTTTAATTAAATGAATCTGTATAATCTGAGTCCCTCTTCATTTGGTTCTAGTTATAGCCAGCTGAGTTTCTGATTGACAAAAAACAAATGGTTTCATGTATTTGGGAAAATAAAATATATTTTCCTCTGTTGGAATCAAATGAGTTGTTAAATATGTGATAGATTTGGATTCAAACATTGAAATCAAGAAGGTCAGATTATATTGAACATATTTCTGTAGACAATTCCTGAAATGTATGGTGCTTTCTTTTTTTAGGTAGAAAGGATCTTTTTAAACTTACTTTGAAATTAATTTACAGTTTCCTTTTTCTGCTACCATTTTTATAATTAAAGGGGCTGACTTGGAGAAGGGGGTAAAATTTTTAAAAATCTTATTCTAGGATCCACAAGTCAGTAAAAAGCTGCAATTGGAAAATAATGCCCTAGAAATGCTGGCTAGCAGGAGGGAGACCAGAACAGACCCCAAGCCCCATGGAAACCACTTAAGCCTGACCTGAATGTTTACCCACAAATTAAACAATTCATTCTGGAACCATGGGTAGGAATCACTGAGCTATTAGAAACTTCCTTGATTTAAAATTACTGCAGGTGGTCAGTGAATTGGAGTAGAGGAAGCCTACGCTAGCAATGTTTGTGAAAGGGTGTGAAGTAGTATAATGTCACCTACAGCCCCACCCCATAGATTTTTGACTTAGAGGCCTGAGAAACACAGAAGAGATCACATGAAGTATCAAAGCAGATATCTACAAAAGGGATTTGAGTCAGATGGGATTTAGCTTTCTCCTCAGATATATGCTAACTACCATAAAGGTATCCACAAATTCAGTAGAAATACATAGGATTATTTTATTTTTCTCAAATTCCCAACCCAGTTATGGTAGTACATCCCTGCAATCCTAGCACTAGGGAGGCTGAGGCAAGAGTATTGCTGTGAATTTGAGGCCAGCCTGGACTATAAAGTGAGTTCAAGGCCAGCCTGAACTACACAGTGAAACCTTGTCTCAAAAGGACAAAAACAAAACAGAACAAAACAAAAATGAACAAATTCTGTTCTCACTCAAAGTACTAATAAAGTATACACCAGGGCAAAAACATTTCATTAATGCAAGAACTAAAAAAGTTTATTTTATAAGTACCCAAGAAGGTGAAGAAGTAAACCAAGGAAGTCCACAAGCCAGGGGGGCAGCAAGCCAGCGGAAAACCATGAAGGCATCTGAGAAATTGAGTAGATACAAGATCCTGAGATCTGTAGCCACAGCATTTGGAAACCAGAAAAGATCCTGACTTTCTCTGCTGGGGACTCCCACCCACCCTGAGTCCCTGGTCAGTGTGACACACAGCCCGGCCTCACCACAGATGCTTCACTGACGCTGCAGGAGCTACAGGCCCAAAACAAGAGCTCTGTATTCTCTAGCGGGGTGGGGCTGCCTGCACTCAGGGTGTCAGAAAGGGGACCAAGAAATCTCAACCCCCTTCCTACCCAACCAGAATCCCTGTGAACTCAACCAATCAGTCCCTTGGAGATAGTAGTTCCAACTGTCAAATGCATAGAGCTGGACACAGTAAGACAAAACAGCAAGTGCGGTTCAGATTTTACTGGGCTCACACAAGCCTGGGGCAGGTACCCCACCACAGTGCAGGGCTGTATACCAGGCAACACTGGTCTTTCTGAAAGTGCTGGGGAGCACAGTGCTGAGCTCCACGAGGGTCCGGGCCCAGCTCCTTGAAGCAGACACAGCCACTGATGGGTAGGATGGTCAGGCTGGCTTAGTGCAGGACACCATAGTAATAGCATTAGGAGAAGCTTTGCTGAAGGAAAATGAGCTAGCACTTCAAGGCCTGAATGGGATAGGGATGAAGTGAGAGAAAAGAGAGTTTACAAGGCTTTGGCCATTAGAAGGGAAAAGAAACAGAAAGTGGTATGAAGGCTGCAGGCGGGTGGCTGACCCAGAGGACGCTGGGCAGCAGGAAGAGAAGTGGCTTCTCCCTCCCATCTCCTGGCCTTTCAGGGCCCTACTTGCTGCCCCACGTTGCCATCTTTGTAAACACAGGTCTTGGAAGGAAGCGGCTGGACTTCATGTAAGCAGAGATCTTCTTCAGACCCTAGGAGTGGGAAGGAGAAAGGTGCTCAGGATCTAGGCCCCAGTGGTCCAGGCAGTGCCATCCAGGGAAAGCCTGTCCATGTGGCTCAGCTGCTAGAGCACGACACAGACTGCTTAGCTCCAGCTCTGGTGAAGGAACGCTTCAATTTCTGATAACTAAGGGACAGCACTGGGGAGCTCTGTTAAAAGTGCTTTACACACACTACAGATGTAATACAGCACTAGAAAATCCACTCCACAGCTCTGCAAGATGGGTTCTACCATTCCCAGTTATCAGATGTACAGAGGAGGTAAAAGACTTCCTCATGCTCACACAGCTAGTACGTGAGACAGGCCTGGATGCAGCCTGGCTGTACCTCTTCAACTCATGCTATCTCTGCTGCCTCCTGCCCTCTCCACAGGAGGCCTTGTCACTCTCAGTCTCACACTGTCCTTTTTCAGTGGGGCAACTCTGACTTGCCTGTCTGTAAAGTAAGAGGATGGGTCTAGTAAGACAAAGAGGCTCAAAATGTGCCCGGGCTCCCTAGGAAAAAGATCAGAGCTCATGCAGTCACTCAGCAAATCCTGGAAGATCTTGGACATCAGGCAGTAAAACAACTAGAAAGGTGAGGTGGACTCTAGTCATTTCCCTTAAAGCAGAAAGTCCAATCTTTTCTGTTTTTTTTTGTTTGTTTGTTTATTTGTTTGTTTTGTTGTTGTTGTTTTTCTCCGGTACCGGGAATTGAACTCATGACTTTGCACTTGCCAGGCAGGTGCTGTGCCGCTGAGCTAAATCCCCAGCCCCAAGTCCAATCTTTTCTACTTGGTACCTGAGTCCAATATCTGCAGTCCTGCCAGAGAGGACCTGGCAGAATGACACTCAGGTGCTGTCCATCAACTTACCAGGAGAGTGAGTACAGGATGATTTTCTGAAGAATTCAAAATCCAGAGCTGCCTGCTTCCAACAAGCCAGGCCCAGCTGGCCACAGGCTGCAGCTCTCATCTCTCCAGTCTGCCCTCCCTCCCCACAGTCATATCAGCTCTTGCACAATCTCCAAGGCCACTCTGCCTGGAGCAGGATCAGAGCTGATGAGAACTAGCTGAGAAAGCACATCATTTCATGTGGGGTGGGAAAGGAAGGCAAATTCCAGGCTGAAAAACAAGTTAAACTAATGCCTTGAAGTCCCAAATCTCTAATAGAATAGGCTTTGCTGGGCTCAAACAGGTAAACCCTGGTGACTCATAATTAGCTACGAAGTGAGGTCCATGCTGTGATCCCCAGCACCTAGGTGTTAGCACATGAACCCCACATTCTGGTATGCCTGTTGTCCTGGGCTACACTGAGTCCCAGCATAGGGCGAGGGGTCTCTGCATCTCTCTCTGAGACTGACACAGAGCTTCATAATGAAGAGGTGGAGAATGTCAGTGAATAGGAGTAAAAACTCTTGTACTCCCCACTTCACGAATGGAAAGTTGGGGTATTTAGAAGAAAGCAGGAGAAGGAGAAGGGAGAAAAGGAATGTCCCCAACCACGAAACAAGGCAAGATAAAATCCTCCAACCGGTTGCCCATGTGTGGTGCTCAGTCCAGTAAAAACTACAACCCCAGGGTCTCAGTGCTTCCCCAGCTGGAGATCTGATTGAGCAAAGTGTTCTGCAGATCAGATGTTAACACTGTCTGCATCTTGGTGTATCACACCCATGCAGCCTTGTCCTAGCCCCCCTAATGCCAGCTGCACACGCTCCTTGCATGCTGTCCTGTCCTTCAAAGGGTGCTGGGCTGGAAACCCAGCTGCACAGGGGCCTAAAGCTCTTTCTTTGAGCACAAAACAGGGAGAACTACCTTCTGTTGCCCTTAGAAGCCAGAGTTGACAGGCAGCCAGCACAACCTCCTCTGACACTGGAACGTTTAGCAAATGACATCCTCTGCAATCTCAGTTCCCTTATCTGTGCAATGGGCCTGGTAAATCTATTAACCTTGTAAGAATGTTGAAATGATAAATCTGACACAATGACTATAAAATGCTGAGCACAGGTCCTGGCATAAATCCAGTGCTCTAATAAATGCTGCTTATTCTTCATTTCAGCTCCAGGACAAGGAAAGCATCTGGAAAATGGGGAAGGGAAAGGACATCTAAAGGGGAAAAGGATATCCGAGAGGAGAATGAATCAGAGGCATTACCTCAAAACGGGATATGAAGTCCTTCAGGTTGGGGAATGCGTCTAGGCAGGTGGGCTCAAACACTCGGTTCCTCTCAATGGTATCATAAGCAAGGAAGTCCACAAAAGTGATCTGTAGAAAGCCAAGGGAGAGCAGGCTGGATGTTCACAGTCTGGGAAGAGTGCCAGCTTCTCCCCTCATCACCCTCTTCTTTACCTTGTCCCCTGCAAACCATGGCTGCTTCCCCAGGAACTGTGAGTAGAGCTTCATCATTTCAGGGAGTTGAATCAAGTATGCTGGCTTCAGTTGCTCCTGGAGCAGAAAGTAGTTGTCACCACTCTCAGAGACAGGCTCCCTGGCAGAAAAGCCAGGCTCCTCCATGCTATGCATGGTCCTGGCTGGCCAAATGTGAGCTCCCATCTTCCTGAGATTGGGAACTGGCAAATGCCCAAGTTTCAACTTAATATATCAACATTTATTGCACTCCAAGAGGTCTGTTAGAGGTAGTGGTAAGTTGGTAGGAATACAGCACTGCCCCTGAATTTGTTATCACTGATGTCCAAACCAGGTTGTGTGGGTCAGACACAAAAGTGCCACGGCATCTGGTAGGTTTTGATCTCAGACATTAGGCAGAATCAAAGAAGTCAACAATTAAATGTGCCCAGAAAAAAAAGGTCAAAAGTTCTACTACACAGGGAGGCAGACAAGGGCTTGGACTTTTGCATAATTACCCAACAGATGAAGCAAATTTGCCAGGACAAAAGGAAAATGAGAGCGGAACAAAAGCCTTTAGGCCAACTTTGAGCTGTCTATTGGGAAAACTATGGGTGTCAAAGAGACACCACTGGGAAATCAGCTGGGAAGGAGTCTGATGAGAAGGGTACCCTTCTAGGTTCAACGTATACTTCTCATAGTTTGAGCCTGTGTATTCCAGGGCTATGATGCTTTAAGCAACTGGAAAACAAGGCCCACCCAAGGCAGAAACCGGCAGTCAGATATAGAGGAGTCTGAACCCAAACTTACTGTCCAGGTACTAAATTTCCTACCTGCCCATATCCTAAGATGAGTTGAAGTCTATTGAGTTTTCATTTGACCTGACACTGGGGTTTGAGGGCACTCTGTTGACAGTTTAGAATATTAGAATGAGTAGTGTTAAGGAATTCAGATGGAAAACTGGACTAGAGTACATGGGAATGCAAGATCTGAACCTCCAATCCAACCCTGGCAGGGGGAAGGGGGCTCACAAAGTCAGAGTTGTAGCAAAGCCTGGCCAGCTCCATGCGAGTATCCATAAGCTGGTTTTCCAAAATATCCACACGAATCTTCTCTTCTTCTGTCTCCCCACCTGAAGCGCACAAGAGACTCACTCTCAGCATCTAACCCCATATGAGGCTAGGGGGATAGCCACTGTCCTCCCACACCCAGCAGCCAGCCATACTCACACAGGTTGTGCTTGCGGGCAATGTAGCGCATGATGGCGTTGCTCTGGGTGAGCTTGTGAGTCCCATCAATTAGGTAGGGCAGCTGCATGGACAGCCGGGAAGAGACAGCTGGGATCCTAGGTCCCACCATCCCTTCTCTGAGTTAGGGTAGACATGAGACTTCCCACTCAGTATGTCTGCCCGTGGCATGCCCTACACGCCCAGATTGTACAATGAATGAATGAGCTGGAACATCTTCCACCACAGAAAGACAGAATAGACAACCACGAATGAGACTAAGTGAGCAGAAGTACTGATCTTAGAAACTATCCTGGGATGAGTTAGGGACATCTTTACTTTCCCCAAACCACCCAATCCCCTGTACCTACATTGGGAAAGTCAAGTCCCAGCTTGAACTTCTCATTCAGCCAATGGCTTTGATCGTAGTCAGGAGCTGTGGTGAAGAAGATGAGGTAAAAACAAATCTATCCTGATTTTCTCAGTCTTCTAGTGCCACTCTGAAGGAATCAGGGGCAAGATCCCCTGATAGTGTATCTGGAATATGAACCACTTGGATTCCATATCGAAAGGTCACAAGGTAAAGTTTGCTTGCAAGGGCTGTGGACCAACAGACTAAGGCTTTCAAAAGATTTAGACAAGAGTCAAGGGAGACCTGACCAATTTACAGATATAGAGGGCCCTAAAAACCTTGAATTTTTATTTGATATGAGTTTAAAATTTGAAGATCACTCCCTTGGCCAAACTGCACGCTCAGGAAGGTTTATGGAAGGGACAGACTCCTGGCACAGCCAGGAAGCAGCTGCCAAGGTGAGCCACAAGTATCAGGGCACGGGTTGCTAGGCTCCAGTCATCAGGGTCAGGCAGGGCCTGAGCAGGAGGTGCTGTTACCGTCCCCCATGGTGTATCTCTTCTCCTCATAGCTGGTGTCTGTGTACTCCAGGAGCAGGCGGATGCCGTGAGCCAGCTGGGAGAGATGGCCCATGAAAGAAGTCAAAGATGCAGGGACTCAGACTGTGACTTTCACTCCCTCTGTGTAAATCCCACCACTATTTCACTAACACACAGCCAGACACATAGACACACACACACACTCACACACACACCACCACCACAGCTCCCCCCCCAACACACACACACCAAAAAACCTTAAAGGGGCCTTGTGACTGGGACAGAGAGCTCCAGCACATCCTGAAGAGGACTTTTGTTTTAGAATGTGGCCCTAGACTCTCAGAGGGCTCAGCACAACCCCTCCCACTATTCATCCCTGACTCACCCCGCGGATGTCCCAGTAACCCAGAGTCACGGACATGGTGCTGGTACCCTGGACTGTGAGGGCCGGCCTGTGCAAGGTTTGTCTCCTGGTTCCGTGAGCGCCGGACACGCAGAAGGGCGGGGCCTGGTTGCAGAGGGGACTTTGGCCCTCCCTGCTCCGCCCCCAATTCCAACCAACCAGGGACGCCAAAGTTTGAGGCAAGTCTGCAAGGGAAAGCAGGAATTGCATCCCACAAAGCTTTAGACCTCCGAGTCCCAGGAACCAGGTTTGGGCCCCCAGAAACCAAAGCAGGACTCGCGGAGGTCCTAGGCTCCCGCACCCCGCCGGTGGCTCCTCCCCCGCATCCTGCTGGGTCGCCTGGGAGCTGTCAAGTGCACTTGGCTGTGGCTGGATGTTGAAAGCAGTGTGGCTGTCCCTTCTTTCCCTTCCCGGAGTCGCTCAGTCTTTGTCCCCAGCTTTGGAGTTCCTGGGTCAGGCCGATAAGGGGCCGCCCGCCTTGAGAGACTTGTGCACCGTTTTGTCAGCAATAATTAATAGAAACCAGATGGTCAGCACGTCTCTGCTAGTGAGGGTAGTTCAGAGACCACGTCCCTGTAGCTGGCTCAGCTTAGTCCCTATCGCACATGCTCCCCACCCACTCAGACTGACCAACTTGCAGGCTCAGGTCCCCAGACCATGTCCAGGCTCAGCAAGTAGCCTCTGGCCTCCAGTTAATTCCCTGTAGGACTGTCAACAGAGATGTAATAGAGCCATGCCCTCATGCAGTTCCTGGCCCTCTGAACTGGTATGGTTCTAACTAACCCTTAGGTGTTTGTTATTTTCAATTCTATACATCTTCAATTTCAAAAGAAATCTAGATTCCACTGGGGGAAAGATTTTTTAAAGTAGCACAAATTAAAATAATAATTCTGAAAGACATAAGACAGATACTGTACATTCCTGTTCACCCACCTTTATTGAAAAGGAAATAGTTGTAGAGATCAAGCCACAGACAGGTCCTGTGAAAATCAGTCCTTGAAGTTCACTGCAGTTGGCTGTTAAAGATAACAAGTCAGGTGGGAACTTGCGGGAAAGTTTTGGAAGTAGGAGACACATGCTAGTGTCTTCATACCCTGAGAGGAGTAAAGAGGGAGGAAGTCAAGTGCAGGACAAGGAGGCCCGCTGGCCAGGGCAAGGACACTGAGCAGCTGGGAAGACGGGACCCGCAGCTCAGGGGCTGGCAGAGGAAGAGAGCAGCTCTCAGAGGCAGGGCAAGGACTGGACCAGCGGGCTCTCAAAGGCAGGGTCCGAGGTGCCAGGGGAACCATCTAAAGGGGTGACATAGGTCTCTGAAAGAAAAGAGGGAATGGTTAGGATTACGGCCCCTGGGCAGTGGTCTGAAGCAAGGGATTGTAGCCACTGGTGACCTTGCAGAAATTCACCCCAGTGCTGCCGGATACACTGGACATCTGTGGGCTTAGTTCCAACTCTACAATGCAGGACAATTTTCATTGTTTAAAGGGATGCTTTGCAGAATAGTCAAAATATATGAGGTCAAATCTAACCAAGAGCTCATAGGATGAGGCCCTCTAGACTGGATTCCGTAATCCCCTTTGGCTCTGCAACTAATATCTAACACCTTCAGTGAAAATTAACAGAAATGCTACATAAAATTAAGTTAAAAAATTAAGTCAGAATTTTTCTTTAAAAAACATAACTTATTAGAAATAAATATCAAGACAAATTAACATGTGCCCTCCTTCATAGAAATCTTTTTTAAAGCTCCTAGGTGCTATGGTTATAGGCAGCTGAGTTAGATAGAAATATTAAAAATATTATAGGCAGTCAGACAGGGCTAGGCCCTCGAAGGAGCCAGTGCAGAAGATGAGATACCTTGCAACTGCGGGGGACAGACACCTCTAGCTGTGGACAAAAGATTAAACAGATGTACCTACATACTTCCCTAGGGATGGAACTCAGGGATTGATATTCTAAATGGGTAGCGATCACCTTGAAAAAGCCAGGAAGAGTCACTAGCCTGACCCTGTATAGGAAAAGCACCTGTTCTGTATTCATGTCTACTTTTTATGTGACTCACTTCCCCATTTGATCTTGATTCAATCAACTTGACCTAAACAGTTATACTTGTAATCTTACTGGTTGACCATAGTTTTGTCCCACTCCATGCCCACCTAGTGAGTTCCCATGTTTTCCACCTTGTGGTTTTGCTCTATAAAAGTCACTAGAAAAGACAGGTTCCTGGACAACCCACTTAGGCCCCCTTCTGTCCCTCTCTTGGACAGAAGCTTTCTTTCCGTCAATAAATATATTTTGCTTTTAACCTCCATTGTTCCTAAAATTCATTCTTTGATTTTAGAGAACATGAACTCATCCCGGATGTCTTTCAGGTTGGGAGTTTTTTTCCCTATATAACTATCTGAGTAAACTTAGCAAAACCAGAAAAGGAAGAACACTTTCTTAAATCTGAAAGTAAAAGAAAAAAAAACACCATTTACAAGATGCTGCCAAATTGATTTGAAGAAAAAAAATTTCCCTGTATGTCTCAGATATGAATATGGCAATATAAACTAGCGTTTTCAGACAACTGAATATCTACAACTTTAACGTAAAAAATTATGGAGAAAACAAGAAGAATAAAACAGGACAAAATTTTGAAACTTTCACCAATAAGCTTATGACCCCAACAGTCGAAGTTCTAAAATCATTATGTGTATTAATAGAGCATTACTCCAACAACAAAAACGAAAAAGGAAATTGAAGTTAAGAAAAATCAAGACTAAGAAGGAATTTAAAAATTGGCACACTATGACTTCTCAAATTTGAGCAACGTTTTTTTCCTTATCTACGTGTTAATTTTACACCCAAGTAGAACAACTACAAAAGATAACTGAGAGAAATTAAGATCTAAATGAGGTCATATTGCGTCACAAAGAACAGTAATAAGATAAAAGGACACTTGTTCTTCAGGAATTTGAGGCATGACATTTCAAAGCTTTCCAGAGGACAGTGTTCCATAAACTGTCCTGTCATGAGCTCCACACAAGCATGGCATGAAGGACCCAACCCGGGAAGCCAGTACCTGGGAAGTGGGGATGATCGCAAGTCACTGTCCCTTATGGGGCAGAATCCAGAACCATGCGTGGTGCCTTAGAGAAAGAACATGACATTCTGGTTATAACTGCATTTGTGCTTGCACACAGCAGCTAGGGCTAGAGTCACACAGAGAAACTTGGGAGAACAGACAGAGAGAGGCATGTGGACACAGCAAGCAGTTGGGGTATACAGGGATGCTTAATACTCTTTTTTCACATTTTCCCAAAGTCCGTTATATCAAATTTTAAAATACACATACCATGTGATCCATAGTTCTTGTACATATACTATTAATTAATTTGAATTTTATCACCTAAGTCTTGTGTTAACTACACAAAATGCATCTAAAATTGCTTTATTCTATTTTTGTTTTTAACACTTTAAGCTTATTTTTTTACATTTTAAAAACTTTAGTTTACAACTGGCACCTACTAATTGTACATATACATGGAGTACCATGTGATGTTTGCTATATTGAACAATAATCAAATCAGAGTACTTAGGATATACATCACCTCAAATATCTGTCATTAGTCGGGGGTACACACCTGTAATCCCAGCACTCCAGGGGCTGAGGCAGAAGGACTGTTGCAAGTTCTAGACCAGCCTGGGCTGCAAAGTGAGCTCAAGGCCAGCCTAAACAGCATAGCAAGACTGTCTCAAAAAGAGAAAAAAGAAATCTATCATTGATGAAGACATTCTAAATCATTTTTTTAGTTATTTTCACATATATTTTACAATGTAATAGTGTTAACTAATATCCTCTTATGCAATAAAACACTAGAGCTTATTTCTCTTATGTAGCTGTGTATCAGTCAGGGTTTACTAGAAGAACAGATATAATACAAGATAAACAAATGTACAAGGAATTACAAGTTTGGCTTACAATGGTCAGCTGCAGAGTTGGATGAGGAAGCACGTAGAGAATGTCTGCACGCTGGAGATTGAAGAGCCCAGCCCCGGGCCTGGAGCTCGCTGCAGTGTCCGTGCAAGTCTGTATCAAAAGGATGATGGGTCTGCGACAGAATGCTGAAGAATCTACGATGAAGGCCGGGGAGCTAACACCAGAAGATTGAAGAGTCCAGACGGAAGCCCAACAGTCTGCACCAGAAGCCAGGAGACGACCAAGCTGAAGGTGAAGACCGGAGCTCCTCTGAAGAACCAGCGGCCAGTCCTTCCTCAATTCCTTTTATTATGCAGTCTACCTGCTCTGGGGAGGTGGGGGTGGTCCTCCACACCCACACCCTCTGCATGCCTGCCTCTTGCACAGGCTCAGGATGAATACAAAGTAAGCACCCTGGACCCCTTCTGAGTTGCATAGTTAACCTTCTAAACTTCTCAAATTAACACAATAAACAACGTCCCAGAAGGGTAAGGGTGTGTCCTTTTCACTCCAAGAGGCACAACTGCTGAGTCACTTAGCCAAACCTCTAGACTCCCCACGTTGGCACAATGTATCAACCATAACAAGCTGCAATTTTGTACCCGTTCCATGGCCAGTCAGTCCATACTCATCCTTCCCCTAGGCTCTGCTAATCATTGTTCTACTCTATGTTTCTAGGTGATGAGCTTCTTTAGACTCCACAAACAAATGAAATCATGCAGGACTTGTCTTTCTGTGCCTGGCTTATTTCACTTAGCATGATGACATCCAGGGTCATCCACATTGCACAAATGACAGGATTCCATCTTTTTGTGGCTGAGTAGTATTCCGTTGTGCATATGTCTCATATTTTCTTACCCATTCATCTGCCAATGGGGGCACTTTGGTGGATTCCGTATCTTGGCTACTGTGAATAGTGCTGCTAATACTTGAGATTGCAGATATCCCTTCAAAATATTCATTTCCTTTCCACTGGAAAAATAGCCAGTAGTGGAACTGCTAGATTATAAAATCATTTTGATTTCTTGAGGAACTTCCACATTGTTTCTAAAATAGCTGTACTAGTTTACAGTCCCATCAACAGTATGCAAGGATTCCTCTTTCACCACATCTATGCCAGCACTTTTTTCGGTCTTTTTTATAATAGCCATTCTAAATATGACAGGGTGGTATCCCATCAAGATTTTGTTTGCATTTCCCTGGTAACCAGATAACCAGAAAACTACAGGTATGTGGAAGATATCGAGCATCTTGCATATCCCATAGCTCCTTTGTATGTTTTCTGAGAAATCTGTATTCATGTTTTTGCCTATT